AAAAGGAAAATGTAAAAATAAAAACATCAAAGATAAAACTAATTTGCGAACAGTGACATTTAGGGGGCACCAGCTGAAACCTGAAGGGGGGTCTGCACAGGAACCAAAGTTCTGCTGAAAGTCCGGCCCGATAAACTCTGGACCTTGACGTGAGCCCGGCCGACGCAGCGCTGCTGTTTTCATCTCTCCTCTGTCACAGGACTGTCAGAAAAGATGAATTCCCTGCTCCTCTGCTGGATTTCAGGAGGAGGTCAGGCAGRAGACGGTTCTGTGTTTAATGGAGCCGCAGCAGGTCCACCGGGCCGGCCGTAGAACTGAAAACACCGCAGAGTGAAAGTGACAGACTGATGGATGAGTCCAGATAATCAGGATGAGACGGAGCTGCAGGTGAAGGTTGTCTGTCAGAGTTAACACGAGGCTGAGGGAGACACCGCTTCAATTAACGAGGGTGGGAAATTTAGCTTTCAGCTGAGAAAATTACACTTTAATCAGCTTTTTAGCTGTTTTTGATCAAAACTTAAAATCTAGACTCTCAGCTACAACAGAGGAGGAGGAGCCTCTTTACCTGCTCCGTTCTTCACCTTCATCTCTAATAAAACTGATCTCAGCACCTCAGCTCTCCGTGCCAACAAGCTCGTCTTCCCGAAGCTGAAGTTCGGCTGCGGAGGACGAAGCAGCCGACCCTCTGCAGAGCGTTAAACGCTCACCTGCCTGATGAGCTCGTCTGCGGCTCCGCAGGTTTAACAGACAGGTGGATGTGAAGTGTTGGTTTCCCTGCGTGGCGTCCTGTCACAACCTGCTTCCTGCAGCTGCAGCAGATTGTAGCGACAGAAGTCAACACTTTGGGTTTCAGCAGGTTCCTGGTGTCGTTCAGAGCTCAAACTTCGCCTCACGTCTCAAATATCTTCACCTTTCTTTAAAGGGATCCACGGTTAGTTTAACGTAAGACTTTATTTGATAAACATGTATTTTAACTGTAAAAATACTGTAGGATGTTAATTAAAAATATATACTTTAACACAGACGGAGCCATTTTATTTGCACACAAAGCATTCTGGGTAAATGATGACGTGGATAGGTCC